CATCGCTTGTGTCCAGATCACACGCCGCACTGCCGTGCTGCTCCGTCTTTTCACTTTCATTTCTGTGTTTGCGTGTGCGCAGTGTGAGACGCTGCAGTGACACCCTCATGGCGGCCGACAGGATTTCAAACAGGTCGGATTTTCTTACGACCAAACGACTGATGATCGGGAGCTGGTCGTGAGGTGTTAATCACTTCTCGTTACCCCACGTATACTACACGATGCACGACACACGATGAAGGCGAAACTCGGGCCGATCACCAAAACGGTCGCACGACTGAAAAATCGGCTCAAAATGGGCCAGAAATGGCACAGTGCATGCCCAGCGTTAGAGGATTGTGTGTTACTTTAAACGGTGTCTCAGCTTTCCCCAGTCTAAAGACACTCAGACTGTCAAATATTGTTGCACATTGTGGTAAAGAAAGGCCTTTAAATCAAGAAGGAGATTTTATTTTTAAAAAGTAATGTTTCAACATTTTAAAGTATTAAAACAGAACTGTTTCAATTTAAGAAAAATTGAATGTTGATTAGAATTTTGTATATAGAGAATAAGCGAAAAGAAAAGAAGTATTTATCCCAAATTTTACAACTTTCCAAGACTATGTAGATCAATTTAGTGAGAAAATATTGAAAGCCACTACCACGTGACCTCATCAAGCAGACGTTCTGCGAAGATACCAAACACAATTCAAACACTGTTAGTCTTATTTGAATTACTTGAGATTAAATTTAGCCTCACATAAAAGAGTGAGCAGCCGGAGCAGACATGCAGTCAAAAAAACACATCGTTACATTTATGGATTGGATACTCAAAGCTGTCAGAGATGGCAAGTTTGTCACTCACCTATGAAAGGGAAGGCTGATGGCAATATGGTGAACATGCCGTTACTGTACATGGTGAATGTGACAGCAAAGTACATCGCCAGGCTTCCCAACACGAAGAACGTGTTAACTGCCGTCCAGTAGGACATCTCAAACCCCAGCTATGGGCAAAGACAGCCAGCAGGTTCTATAGTTATATACGTTTTATAATAAACAAATAAACATTTGAAAAATTATGCAAAAGAAAGGTTTCTGGATACCTGGATGCTGACGGCAAACAGCAGACATGTCTGAGTGAGGAGGGCGAAGGACTGGTAGTCGGCGATGTCCTTCCCATCATCCCTCACTGTGTCATACATAGCAGCATAGGGGATAAAAAAGAGCACCAAGGAGCTGTAGCAGCTGTGGAGGGCGCATTTGAAGAAGGACTTCTTGCTGAAGTACAGGTTGAGTTGACCTGGAACATAGAGCTGAGGATGCTGGAAACTCCACACATCATTCACATCCTAACCAGCAGGGGGAGACAAAGACATTAGATCCTTTTTTAGTTGGTTTGGGTTTGTTTTGGGGGGTTTTCTTTTTCTTTCTTTTTTTTTGGCGGGAAGGAATTCATTTGAGCTCAGATTTATGGCCATGATATTTTCATACATACAGATGATCCCATTACCTGATCAAATAGACTCATTCCCAGCACAGGTAGTGCTGTGTACATCAGATTGTAGAGCGTTATAAACCACTCATCATACACAGTCTGAAAAGCAAAAACAGAAGTGGACCTTTAACCAACTTCTTCAATTTTGGACTCAATTGAAATGAAGTACATTAACAGACTTCACATTATCATTCAAAATGTGCAGCATCGTATTTGAAATTTGTAAACTGATGTTATTTTTTGTATCTCTTATTTTCCTTTCAAAATAATTTGGTCTTTTTCTTATTTACACTGACTGTACCTAGGCTCTGGTGTAACTGGTGTTATTCTGCTTCATGTCTCATTTTCTTAAATTACTGTATAAAGACAAATCGTTAATAATATGTCTGCTGTTCAGAGTTTTAGTACAGTTTGGGGGGTTTTCTACCCCTTCCATTCTCATTTACATACTAAAATTCAGATCTCACTATGACTTCTCTAACTGGTTTGTTCTGCCTTTTCATGACAAACAATGAAGTGAGTGAGTGTTTATATATAATTATTTACAGATTGAATGTCATATTATGTTTAGTCTAACTTGACTACAAGGAAAATGCAGGTTAAAGGCATTTCTGCAATGGCTCGATCATAATTTTGTAACTACTCGTTTCTCACCTGCGCAGAGAAACCACAGAAGAAGGCAAACCAGAAATGGACGAAGGTGAAGGTGAAGTTTTTGTAGAAGAAGTAGCGCAAGAACTTGCACATGCGCAGGTAGGACCAACGGCCGTGCACCAGCAGGAGGCGCTGCAGGAAACGGAACTGGGCAAAGGAGTAATCGCTGGACAGCACAGCCTGCATGCCCTCCTGGCCTGAGATGCCCACACCTATATGAGCCGCTGTGTGGGGAAAAAATTAGAATGAAGAAAGACTAATATATATATATATACATACATACATACATACATACACACACAAGGGATAATTAGAGTTAATGGTTGAGTATAGGGGAAAAGTTTTCCAAACTTGGGAAAGCATTGGAGAACAAACAGGAGGTTCATATGAAGCAGTTTGAGTTTCTTCTGCTACCTTTGATCATGCTGACATCATTGGCTCCATCCCCAATTGCCAGTGTGACTGCCTTCTTGTACTTCTTGACCAGCTCGACCACCTGAGCCTTCTGCAGAGGAGTCACCCTGCAGCAGATCACTGCTTTGCACATGCATGCCGTCCTTAGGAACTCCAGCTCCAGGCTGTGCTCCAAAGCGTATGCCTGAGGGACAGAGGGGGTAAGAAAAAGGTGAGCTTAGAAGAAGACAGGCAATAAAAAACGTGTGACTGACAGAGCCATGACTGTTAACAAAGGCTGGAACATGAGCACAAGAAAAAGGTCGGGCTTTTTTTGCATCGCTGTTTGATGATTTTAAATCATAATGTCTTTCAAAATAAAGTTTCATGGATAGAAAAAAAAAAGTTCCCCACTGTAGCTACAGTACTTTTATTTTATTGGACTTCCAGAAGAGCTTGTTTCATCAAATAAACACATCTTTCATACTCAATAAAAAATTAGGCTCTAAGTAAGAAACTGACGACAGCATTTGCATACGGCAGCAACTCGCCAGTTACAAAGTAAGCACATCTTTTAAAGTTTGAGAGTGACAGCATGCACATAAACTGAAATTGTATGTATGTACCAAACTATGTCCATTGATGACCAGGCCGTACTCCCCATTCACCACCTCATCTGTGACCACTTTCACACCTTTATCCATTTCGGGTAAAAACTCTGAATTCTCAGCTGCATCTGGCTTCATGGAGGTTCGGGCATTTCTAGAAAAAAAATCAACAGTATATGAAAACCTGTCATAATGAGATAGTAAAACATGTTTAGTCTAAGATTTCCTCTGACCTCAGTTCCTGCTGGACATCCTCAAGTGAGTTGCCCGAGATGATGAAGACATCATTCATCTCTTCCCGTAGCAAGTTGCATGAGTAACCAATGTTCTCTGCGGTTTCTGCAACACAGACAATCACCATCACCGTGTGTGGACTGGAGTCTGTTCCCCATAAGCATTAACTTTCATCTTATTCAAAGTTATGTACCTTGCTTGTCACCGGTCAAAACCCAGATTTTGATGTCGGCCTTAGACAGCTGCTCGATAGTCTGAGGTACTCCATCTTGCAACTTGTCCTCTATGGCTGTTGCTCCAAGCAGCTGAACACACACAGAACACACACATAATCAGAATGCTGTTCATTTTACCACACAGTTATGTTTTTACAGTATGAGCTGCTTTTATCGTCTTACCAGGAGATCCTTCTCTATCTCCTCATACAACTGGTCCAGTTTGCCCTCTCTATCCTCCAGTGCAGTGTTGGCCTCATGGTGGCGCTGTATCCACTGGTTAAAGTACTCCTCATCCAGATCCTTGTAAGCAAGAGCCAGAGTCCGCAGCCCATCCCCTGCAAATTCCTGTAGAAATTCCACGTGCGTATACTTATATGGATGAACGCTGGATACTAGAAGGTACACACACACACTAATACACAAGCGCACACACAAGCTCAAGGCATTTGCACATATAAACAAAAGTCAAACTCTTGCTCAGTTCAAGATTAGAGGAGCAAAAATGACAGCGAGAAATTAATCAGATCTTTCCCAAAACTTCCCTAAAAGAACAGACATAGAAGAAGGAGGAATAAAGAAAGGCACTTTGAACATGGCAGCTTTTTCTGATGTACCTGCGCTACAGCTCCGCTGTTGTCCAAACACAAATATTTAAAACAAGGCAAATAAAGTCAAATGAAGCTGTGGTGGATATCTATCCCCATTTATGATGACTATGAGAACTGCAATTTATCTTATATCAAACCCACACAAACAAACTCCTTCCATAAAGCATGAATTTAAATCTTTTATTTCCTTTCCTGTCAGTAAGACAAAGAACGTACCGACACGTTTATTTAAAAAAAAAAAAAAAGTGCTATACTTACAGCACTTTACTTAAAGTATTATGTGAGAGGTTGTGCCTGTTACCTTTACAGCCTTATATTGCTCAAGAATTAATGTGTACTCAACTCCACTTAACAATCCACTAGTTTGAACTGCTGCTTTAAAATGAACTTAAAAACATCTATTATGTTATGTCTCTTTATTCTGTCAGTACGGCCTCAAATTTGGGTCATTAGTGGAGATTGAACCTGGTTATCTTTGCACTCGCTCAGACATTTTGGACAGTGCAAAGTATTATACGAATTAAGGTTTTTCATCATGATTATCAGAGATACTTGTATATAAATTCAATAATTTGTTGCTCCGGGGAAGCAAGTTCATCCCAAATCCAAATGCATGTAGGGATGAACTACGTACAAATGCAGTTGGCATAGCCTAGCAGAGTCAAATATCTCTCTTTGAACACACACACAGAAATACTACTAACATTAAGATGCTCTGTCGTGACATCCATCAGCTTGCTGCAGGACTGGTGCAGCCTTTCGTAGATGATTGTGTCGGCACCTTTGCAGTAAAGAGACAGCTTGCCCTCTGGACTCCTCACTGCATACAAAAATGTACATACATGAAAACAAACAATGTTTCAAATTGCAGTGGAAAAAAAAAGCAGTCTGTATGAGAGCTAAATAGGAAAGCATATACAGATATATAGATATATATATAGTATGTATATACCTATGACTGACATCCTCTTGCGGACATTGTTGAAATCCAGGATGGCCAGGAGTTCATAGTTGCACTGCTTTCCCATTTCCACGATGGAAATACTGTCTGGTGTTCGTGAGCGGAAGACAAATCCAAAGTTTCTGGCTGCGGTCACCAGAGCCCCCTCATCTGGCGACTGGGCCTGGTAGAAAAGCTCTCCTGGAGAACAAAAAGTTTATATTTAGCAGGGCAAATATGATTATTTATTAAAGTTCATAATTCTAGCTGCAGCAAAAAATGCTTTCACGTTGATCAGTTTCAAGCCAGAGCTTCTTTCATTGGAGGACCTCTACAATAAACTACTGAATAAAAAAAGGACTGGAAAACACACATACTGCCATTTAACTGCTCACTGAAACATCTGTACCGTCCTCACCTTCTTTCTTCTCCTCGGCCATGACAGTGTGGCAGAGAGCCAGCAGCCTGAAGAAGGCGTGGACCTCCGTGTTCTCCAGCTTCACCGCCTCCACCAGAGAATGGTCGTGGAAGACGAACCGAGAGTCGGCTAACGGATTGAAGGAGAAGTCTACTGTGTCTGTATACTGCAGGAGTAAATGTACAACAAGAAAAAAAAAGAAGTAAGAAAGAAAGAAGGATAAAGTAGAAAGGGAAAGAAATGTAACTGGACCTGCTTAGGCTGATGAGGAGAGGTGAGAGAGTCTGTTAACACTAAAATGTGTCAGAAACTTTTACTAAGTTAATAATATAATCCTGTGAAATCACTGTAAACCTGGTAAAGAACTAAAGTTGTTTAACTGTCTAAATATAGAAATCACAGAAAGTAAAGGAGCAGCAGTCTAAAAGGAAAACTGTTCAACATACCAGGGACCAGGAATTCTGTCCAATGTTTCTCTTAACTACCTTCCTTAAACCTATCCAAAAATTCTATTTCAGGGAAACCAAACTTTACCACTGCATTGGAGACGCCATCTGTCAGTCAGTCATATGGACCAGTAAACTATTTTTTATTTATTTAATTTTTAAATCTGCATATGTAAACTCACCTCATTCATTTCTAGTCTTTGGCCTGTGTAGTCATAAACATCTCCTGCAGAGCAGAATAACATTTTTAATCAAACTTTATTATACATGAAGAGAATGTATTGAACAAAGCATCAGCTGACGTAAACCTTTGTGAGCGTGAAAAACCATCCAACTTCTCCGAATAAGGAATCCAAAAATGCATTTTTAGAAAGTCTCAGTAGATTCTTCTTTCAGCTTCATTCAACTGAAAAACACTTTATGACTAAAACTCTTACCATAGCATTTGCCATTAATAGTGCACTTGTTGAAGATCATGATATTCTGGGTGAGTGTTCCAGTTTTGTCACTGAAGACGTATTTGATTTGGCCGAGCTCTTCGTTCAGAGTGGTGGTACGAGCCTCAGCAGGGGTGTCATTGCGGGCATAGTACATTTTCCTGTCCCAGTCGATGTAGAAGCTGTTCCCCAGACGAATGATCTCCACACTTCAAGCAGATATTGAAAAGAGGCACGTGTAGTCATATATGCGTTTTTTTGCATTCATTTTGTTAAATTCATTGTAAAAAAGTAACACAAAGTAATAAAAGCATCATTTCAAACTTATTACCTCACATAGAGAGAGATGGGCACCACGGTGTTAAGGATGATGACGTAGGACCAGAATGTGAGGAAGGATGAGAAAGCAGGATCATCCTCCAGCCTTGGCAGGAAGACAGTAAACTGTGAGCCCTCATTTCTTTCCCAGATGTAGTTTCCTATCGCCAGGACAGAGCACATGAAGGCTAGGAAACCAAAAATCTGCAGAAAGAGTAGAAAGAGACTTTATTTTGTCATTTAGGAATACAAAAAAAAAAAACTGTGTTGGTGTATAAACTTCAGCTACAACTCAGAAACACAAATGTCGTAGATCCAAAACAGAGACAACGAAGATCTGCTTAAGCTTGAAATAAAAAGACGTGTGAGTTTGTGATGATGTCATCTGAGAGGAGTTTCAGATCTAAAAACAAATGGTGCAGAGTCCCAGGTACTCTATGACCCCTAGTGGAGGTCGTCCTGAGGGTCGTTGACCCACTATTGATCATGCGAGTCATCACATGAGCCATGGTGTGAAAAAAAGATGTGGGTCAGTACCATCACCACGGGTTCAGGGGGAAACCACTACGGGATCTTCCTCGACCTCATCATGTGACGTTGCGCATGTACAAGCTTGTATATAGATGTATAACCATCTCTCATTGCCGGTAATGATAAACTACCAAAAACATGATAATTTTTTATTTTAATCAAAAGTTTGGAGTTACTTTGAAATACCATTATAAATTTTTTAAAGAAAAGCTCATTTGTTTCCATTTAATAAGTTTATAATTATCGAACTACCTCAGCACAGATGAAAACTGTTCTGTTGTTTAAAGAAGCATTTGACTAATTAAGCATGTGGAGCATCAGTGTTTGTGGGTAAGATTACCAATTTAAACTGACCGACTTCAAAAAAAAAAAAGGGGTGATCTTGTTTAAGAGGTTAAAGTTATTTCATGCATATTTTGCACAAATAAATGGAACATTTCATACAACCATGTACAGAAATAAATACATTTGCAACAGTTAAAGATTAACAACCTGATTACCCCACATACATATTTTTGGAGTTTTGTTTACTCAGAAGTACCACTGCAGGACTTGGTTGTGCATTAGCAACAAAAAGTTTAATTTGAGCCTGAGAGGGTTAAGAGGTTAAAGTTATTTCATGCATATTTTGCACAAATAAAGGGAACATTTCATACAACCATGTACAGAAATAAATACATTTATGGATGCTTTATTGATTCCACAAGGCAAATTGTAGTACTTAATGTAATTTAATTATGCAGTTTAAAAAAAGGGCAGACTGTAGTTTAAAGTTTGGTTTAAAAGTTTTACATTTTTAAGAATGAGTGGTACTGATTTATCCAACTAAATTAATGGCTTTGTCTTCCTTTGCTGTGGTAGTAGCTACTCCATTGCACCTTGAAGCTTTAGCAAACTATGCATGCATCCCCTTTACGGTCTCGGATACATCACAATTTTCTTGCTTTCTCCTGTTTGTGCTGCTCTACTGCATCAGATCTTTTGATTTCAAATAAATCGTTAGTGTTGGTGAGGAGAATGTCCAATAAAAAAAAAATTGTGGTGCATTAGCAGAAGGGAAATAGTGTAATGAACTGATTTAACTGTAAACTTAAACTTCAGTACCTCAGCAGCAGTCAGCTCATTTCTTCACAAATCTCATTATAAAACAATAAATTATTGATGACCCTGAGATGTGATAAAACAAATGTACTCACAAAGAGGACTAAGATATTCATTAGACGGTCTATACTGGTCCTCTTGAACGTGCTCTTCCCACAGTTTTGCATCAGCTTTGTTTCTGGACCTGTAAAAGAGAAACAGAATGATCTGAAGTCACAAGTTTCATAATTCCCACTACAGTAGTTCCCTATTAATGTGTGTCTGACCTCCAAATAGCACCAGTCCAAAGCACCACTCAGTGTTCCTCAGGGTGCAGCCTCGCAGTAGGATTTTCTCATTGTCAAGTGAATATTTCTGACCTGCGAAGCTCAGCACTCCTGTGAAGCGGTCGAGGCGGTTGTTGGGGGGTTCACAGCGGACCTCACCTTGAGGAAAGGAAAGACACGGCCAGGTTTAGATTTAGAAAGAGTATGACATCTACCAATTTTAAAAATCAAAATACCTCCATAACGTTCACAAATTGTCTTCAGATGAATTAAAGTTAAATGAAGGTTAAAAAAAAAAAAACATGGGTTAGAAAATATATGAGCCTAACATGAACTTTTTCTTTCTTTGCGTTTTCACTTATTCACTTTCATCTGCTGATCGTTGCTTTATTTCTGGCACTTGCTTAATTTTAGCGCTTTTTTACTATATAAGACGAGTTCAAGATAAAACCTTGATGAGAATAAAGAAACAGTGTAGAATAACTACAACTGTAATAGTAACCGTTACATGCCTCGGCTTTATTTAATTTTTTCTCTGTCTATTGTTTTGGGCATAACTGGTTTAGAAAATTACCAGCGTTAATAAGCATTAATGGAAAGAGTGGCATTGACTACATTCATAAACATGTATTTTGTGTAGTCAAAACATGTAAAACTACAAGGAGGCCATAAACAATAAACAACATTTCCAGATTTCTTTACAGAAACTGTGAATGAGGTTTAACTTATTTATTATGTCTTACGTTGAGTATTGCGTTTTGTAGGTTGCCATTTATTTATTATATAAATAAAACCTTCTATGTATACTGTGAGGAATAACCTTAACAGGGTAAGTCATTTTTATTTATATAGCACATTTACATTTAACATCAAAGTGCATTACACTGAAAAAATTGTGTGTGTGTGTGTGTGTGTGTGTGTGTGTTTACAGTCTCACCGTTAAAATCTGCCAGTTTTTCAATATCATCCCCCAGGTCTCCCGTCACTGGGAGGGCCTGTCTCACCTTCAGGTTAGTTTCTCTGAGGAAGAGAAGCCGAGAAAGTTAAAAAGAGGAAGAAAGAAGACAGCTGCATAAAGCGGAAGTGAAAACAGAAGGATGTGGTTAGATGTGAAAAAGGAGGAAAAATAGACGAACCCATCGAGTTCTGCAGTCTCAATGTACACAAGGTTGAGTGGTTCACTGCTGGAGAGCAACAAGAGGTCTGCCTGAAATTACAAAGAATTTATGAATGGTAAAAATGTATGTGATCAATGACAGGATTTTATTACTCAACTAAAAACTTACGTTAGGTTTACTGACATCTCTGCTTGTTCTTTTGTCTTTTAGAAAACCTCAAAATTACAATATGAAAAACTTCCCCTAAACCTAATTTGGTTATGAGTCTGTTCCTTTGAACAGACATGCTAAAAGCTCACCGAGTCAACCCACAAGAACAAAATAAAACATCCAGAGGAAGTCAACAATAAACTGTAACACAATGAAGTACAGTTTATATTCTATGTGTTGGGGAAGAGAAAAACGAACAAATAAGAAGTACTTCCACCCTCTGATGCTCTACTTACTGTAACAAACTGGTTGTTTTCTAGTTTGATGATGTCTCCCACTTGCACATTCATCCATTTCTCACTCCGTAGCCTGAGAACAGGGAGAGGTTGGTAAGTGTGTGTGCACAGTATCACTTTCCCTTTTCTTTGAAGATGGTCAGGAAACAAATGCTCTGAGGGCTCACAAATAACCACTGAACACCAAGGTCATCCTAATATTAGTCATTTTCCTTTTGCTGGATGTTCCTGCCAGTGTCCTGTATTATCTCTCTGTGTATTTATCTGCCAATAATAGCCAGAGTTTTTAATAGTTGGCTGGAACTGGATGCTTTGCCAAGTTTCCCATTACATGCTTCTGCTCATGTTGGTGTTTCAGATTCCCACAGCTGACATATTTTTAGGATGATCTCTTTCTAGTTTGTAAGTTTTCTTAATATTTGCAGTAATCTTTAACATGTCAAAACAACGTAAAGGAATAATTTTCACATCAGTTTTTCAAAGATTGTAAATAATTTTCATGTATTTTTTTGTTATCATTATATAAACAGTACAATATTTTTGTTATCAGGGTTTTCTGTGTTCTCTGTATTACTGTAGGTCTTTACCTTACAATAAAAAGCACCTTGAGGCTACTGTTGCTGGGATTTATGTATTGAAAAGGTTTCTTGGATACTAATGGCACTATTGAATTTTTTAAACCATTATTACTATTTATTGTATTAATAAAATGATTATTACAACCCTGTAATCAGCTCTTTTTAATAGTATTCAGCATTTTCCTTTTTCTGATAGGATATACTTCATTTTTCCTCAAAGTTGCAAAAAACTGAAGTACAGGAGCAAATATTAAACACAACTTATAAGAAAATGGAGCTTAGGAAATTACAATAAAATATGACAAGAAAAAAATCACTCAGTAATTTACTGATAATTTCTAATTAAACAGAAAAAAATACACAAAATATAGGAGAGTAAATCTAAATGGAAAAACAGAACAGAATGTAAAACACAATAAATACAGGTACTGTGGTATGAGTTTGTTTCTGAATCTCAGTAGCACAGCTGCTTCCCCAGTGACTAAACACAGAATAATGAACGGGACATACGCTTTAGTGAAATAAACTATTTACTCCAGTCCTAAAAATGAAGTGATCTTTATTTTGCGTATTTAACAGAAGGCGGCCTTGTGTCAGCAGGAAGTAAACTTTTTCCTGCAGCTGCTTGTGGACTAAACAGTGAGCAAGGCAGCCAGGAGGAAATGAAGACATACAAGTTAAAATATTTTTATCCACCACACCTTTCCTAAGTAAAAATACAAATGGGGGCTTTATCTCTTATTTGATTACAACATCATCACATCATGGTATACAGGCCTTGTGATAACATCCCATATGGCAATTTTGAGACCTTAAAACAATTAGAACCTCACTTGATGTATAATGTTTAATTGTTCTGATAATAGCCAAGCGCAGTGGATATTTTTGAACCTGTATTTTCCTTTTTGCGCTCCAATATAGCCACAGGAAGCAGCTGCAGGATGGTGGGCAGCACTTGTTTTGTTGTTGCTCTTACGTCTACTATTTCAAATATGTGAGCTATGCTCTATTTGGGATCTGACAGGCACATAAGTGACATTCCACCTTCAGAGCTGAAACATCAAATACTTTGAATGCGTGCATGAGGATATGATTCATAGCACCCACCCACCCACACAAACACACACAAACTTACTTTCTATCAATAAGGACTTGGACTTTTCGGTTGTTAACTCGATTGTCGCTCCTGTGGCGATTCTGGGAAACAGAACAAAATGACAGGACTGAGTCAGAAAAGGTCACAGGAAACTCAAACTGAGTTCACTGATTTGTTGTTGTTTTTTTATGACCAAATTTCTCTTTAAAACTATCAGTCACCAACTAACAGAGTATGCGAGAAGAGATGATAATGCAGTGACTGTACAAAATGAAGAGGGTTTTAGCCGAGTTAAACCTCAGACTCTTAGGCAAACGTCTACTTCCCTCCATGATGACACTTCTTTGTCTCGTCTCATAGACTTACTATTTATTTCTGTATGTGAGACAGAGAGTCCGCTACTGAGCTAAAACTGAAGGGTGGCTTCCCTTCTGAAATTATATTCAGATTACAAAAGGGTTAAATGTGGTTTATTGATTGGAAACATTTACTGTTACTACTTGTTTCAAATATGAATAAGGCCCAGCTCAGATATGGCAAACTCAGTGAAGCTTTGCACAGAGCAGAAACTCATCTGTACGGCAACACATTAAAGAGATGCTGATCAGGCTGTTGAAGAGAAAATGAAGGTTACAGCCACAATAAAATAAAGTTAATGTTGAACTTGTTCTTTCTGTGTTACAACCTGAAGAGGTTCTGTCTGGATTTTATGTTCTGCTTTCTGGGAAGTCAAAGTCTTTCTTTTTTCACCTTTTACATTCCACCTTGTTATCACCCGACCTTTTTATTCTAATTCTTTGTGAAGAGATCACATCAAGATAGTGGTTATCCAAAACTGTTAACTTCTGTTGTCAATTCTCTGGCAATTGCTGATGGCTGTTGATCAGTTGAATTTATGACAGTATTTTTTAAACAGAAAAAAAACCTGCCATTAATTGTTTTAATGTAAGTAATTTCTAAAACCAACAATTAGTTTTCTAGCAACAACTCATATGTGAATTATCTCATCTCCAATTATCTCTTTTTTTTTTAAACAATTTCTTGTGTTATATTGAGTTCCTGTACTTTCTGCCATTGTCTGATATTCTTTCCTAATGTCTTGATTATCTTGCTTCCTATCTTTAGCTTTTTTATCTGCATTTGTAAGTGTTTGCCCTACCTTTAATTAGTTTGTCTTGTGTTTAGTTACTTTTATTGTTCATTTACATGCCTTTGTCCCTTTGCTTTGTCTGTATATCAGTTTTCCCTCCTCTGCTTGGATTATTTGAACACGTCTCCCTCAAGAGTCATTCTGTTGGGTCTTTTCCTTTTGTGAAAAATTGAATGGCAATTTAAGTGATTTAATAGAATAGCCTTTATTGTCATTGTACACAGTACAACGAAATTGGAGTGCCACTCCCTTGGTGCAAGATTCAATAATAAATATAAATGTAAAATATAAAAAGTACAATAAAACAATCGCAAGTACTCAAACAATAGTAAGTATGATATATACTCTCACCAGTATAAAGCAGGAAGATCAAGCAATAATTACTCACTATTGGGATGTAGCATTACTTTAAATTCATTCTTACAAAGTTTGAAATCTCTGCAGCTGACTTGAAACTAACTTGTAAAACTCTCCTTTTACAACTGCATTCCAAACACCAGCCATAGTTTGCTTTTGCAAGGTCATCTACCTCACCACACTTGGTCACACCTGGAATGCTGAGATCAAATTAACCCTGAACCAAGTGACCCTGTGAAAGTAGCAGACGTTTACCAGTCAGGATCTCTGCTGCTTAACAAAAAGACTTCTGTTTCTCTTCCTTGAGCCAGTCTTAATGGTTTGGCATTAAGTCCTTTTCCACTCACATGCAAACACCGGCACACATTTGTCTGGTTGACCTTAACTGCTGAAATCATTGTTTTACAAGTGCTTTTTTTTCTGGTTTGCTTCTCACAAATTGATAAAAGAATAAGGAAACATTCTGACAATTAAATAAAAAGCCGTATCCCTTTTGAACTTGCAGCTTTCGGTCATTTGTGTTAAGCACATTGGGTTTTGTTTAATGAAATGTGCTGTCATTGTTTACCTGACTGGTAAACTGTCATTGCCATTTGTAGAGTAGACGTAGAGAAAGGGGAAGTTATTTCTTAATCAGTTTTAACTCCCAGATGACAGAATTGGCTGAAATTTTCGCAAAAATGTCTGAAGAAATATTCAATTGAGCAACAGTTTGGACATGCGTCCAATCTCTTGATTAAAAGACTGGCTTGAGTGCAGACAGCTGAAGGAAGCTGAAATAATGAAAATGAGTTGGCTATGAGAATGTGAAGTATAAACCTAATCTTTTATCTTTCCCTGCTTGTATATATACAATTTTACAATACAATTTTATTTGTATAGCAGGGGGTACACCAAAATGCTTCACAGTAAGGAAACTCTCCCTCCTTCAGTGCCTGCAATTAGTCCAAAATGTGGCAGCACGCCTCTTAACTGGCACTAGAAGGCATGAGCAGATCACTCCTGTCCTCGCCAACCTACACTGGCTTCCCGTCAAATATCACTTGATTTCAAAATCCTTCTGCTCACTTTTAAAATTCTAATTAACCTGGCCCCTAGCTACTTAACTGATCTCCTTGATCCGTACAACCCAAAGAGAGCACTAAGATCCTCCAGCCAACTGCTCCTAATGCAACCAAGGTCTCATTTAAAAACCAGAGGTGACCGTGCATTTGCCATCCCTGCCCCTAGACTCTGGAATAATCTCCCAGTCGAAATCCATACTTCGGAATCAATTCAATCGTTTAAATCCCATTTAACCCCTTAGCAGTCCAATTAGTCCCCTAAACCATAAAAACACACTTGTTTAACTAAGTTTTTGAAACAAATTAGTTTGACTTTCATTTGGCCTGCACTACGCCATGTCAATGCAATTTAAAGTATAATTGTACTATTTGTTCTTTGTTCTTTGCGCTGCGGTTTCATTGTGAAGCACTTTGATGAACACTAGGCTTTTAAATGTGCTATGTATATAAACTTTGACTTGACTTTGACTTGAATAAACAGTAAAATGATTACACTGAACAGTAAGCCATTAAAACAAAGTGAAATAGAGAAACAAACAAAGGCATTAGTAAGCAGAGATAGGAAAATTCATGATAATCCAGAGAAATGAGTAACGATACAGCAGTTAGTGAGCGGTGAGAATTAGCAAGTCGGAATAGGTTGAGTTTTCAAGCGTGCTTTAAAGGATTGAATGGAGTCAGAGGCACGAAGGGTAGCAGGCAGAGGTTTGGTGCTACAGAGGCAAAAGCACGATCACCCCTAGTCTGGGCTGGGCCAGAAGTAATTTAGCAGATGATCGTAAATAACGGCTGGCAGCATAGAGCCTGAGGAGGTCGGTGAGATAGTCAGGCGTAAGGTTGTTTAGGCATTTGAAAGTAAGCTGCAGAACTTTAAAATCAATACAAAATTTAATAGGCAGCCAATGTAAATCAGAGACCACTGGAGTAATGGAGGCAAACTTTCCAGTTCCGGTTAGGAGACGAGCCGCAGCATTCTGAACAAGCTGCAATCGTTGGAGGTGAGCGAGTTGGAGTCCAGAGTAGAGTTACAATAATCATATCTACTCTTCTCTCAGCTTCATTGGCAGCTCCCTCTCCTCACTTCTTTATGTTGCTGCCTTTATTCAACATGTTGTTGAATGTATGTCTTTTAGGCAACAGAAGTGCGTGGATAGAGTGGAGGCCACACAATAATGTTAAATTTACCAAATATTAGTTGCTCTAGTCTCACATCAGTACTATCTAATATCACACAGACTATGCACTAGAGAGATGGTAGATTATAGTGAAAAAGGTAATTTTCTGGTAGGACAGACAGCCACTACAGCAGTTTTAAAGGACAAGTTTAAAAAAAAAATCAAGTGAAACACAGATAAATAAGTCGTAGACAATATGTGTATAATGACAATATGTCAGGTGTCCTCTTTTTGTTAATGATTGATGCAAAGTCTGAAGTGAAGCGAGGTGGGGTTCTCATTATTCAGTTTCTGAAGGAGATTCTAGTTAAAGTTTGACATGGGGGGCAACGCATAATGAGTGACTAACAGTTAACATCAGATCCAAAATCCTATTATTAAAAAGACAGTTGCATAAAAGTTGTTACCTGAAGAGGCATTGAGCTTGAGATGGGCTGTTTGATGTTTATATAAATTGACTGAATAGAGAATCCCAATAGTGATGGTTGTATGGTCTTCTTGTGCTGTGCTCGCTTTTGGGTGTTGGGGTACGTGGGGGATGTGTTTGCATCTTCTGACATGCCTGTTTTGCATTTGGAAGCCTAAAAGTTAGAGTGCCAAATCTCATCACAGATACGGTAACTTTGCAGATTGCAGTCGACTGAATTCTGTTTTCTTACCCCTCTTAATTCAAGCTACTTGGCTGCTGTAGAACAAACAACTCTGGCAATATGCCGAGTGTCCAGGTCTATTTACTATTTTATAGAGGAGGCTGTAAAAATTTGTGAATGGAGTCCAATATGAGTGGATGAGTCAGTGAAGCTCACTCCTGTCTTATGACAGTGACAGTGAGGTGAGTTGCTGAGGATTTCGTAAGCTTTATTTTCGGTAAGTGTTGCGCTCAGCCTCTGCTAGCTGCTGTTAGACGGCTTTAGTGAAACTCTCTTTGAAATGGATCTAACATTGTTGGACTCAGAGGGAAAGTGTGATTTTTAGGACGCTTCAGTCTAGCATTTGCTGCCAAAAGTTAGCTTATAACCAGCTGTTGTCTTTGTTTAGCCACTCGCTGTTAGCTGTCTGGAGAAGGGAGGGTCGCATGTCTAATCTACTGACAATAAGTAACTGTGACAGTTAGAAATGAATTAATTCTAAGTTTATGAGAAGGATAATAACAACTGATAACATATCTGTACTTGAGGTTTAGCAGGGTGCAGAATTTAAAATGTAAACTGAGAAATCTGTATTGCAAACTTAGAAGATTTGGATACAAACGGAACCTTTTTATTAGTTTCTAATTTTTCTAATAGTACAATAAAGGACATGAATTATTTTGGTTGTAGATGTTGGTTTTTTCATTGCCATCTAGCCTTAAAAAAGCAGAAGACATTTTCAAATGTGCTCACAATATCATCAGTTGCATCCTTGGCAGCGGTGACCGTCAGCACGAGGATCAGGGGGACGACAGTGGTGAACCAGGACAGCGAGGAAATCTGAGGAATCACCTGAAGAACACAAAACGCAGAGAAGAAAAACTTTATTTAAACTCAGGTTGGAATAAAGTAAAGAGCCATGGGCGTATGTTTACTTACATAATGAAAAGAAAGGTGTGTATAAAAAGGATTGTGTGCATTATGCCCATTTTAAACTTGAAAAGAGGATCTTACTTTGTCAACACAACTTTTTATTAAACAATATTATTGCTATTTTTTTTCTGTTTAATTATACATGTGTGTTGTGTTTGCCGAGTAGTGTTTGAGTTGCCAAAATCCGCTTCCCATTGAAATTTTGTTTCAGTAGGAAATCTAAATAAAGCTATTTTCTGTTTTGTGTACTTTGGTGGATTAGATGCACTTATTAAGAAAAAAACAGATGTTGGTTATTAATCAATTTAAACTGCAGTGTCTAAGTTCCTTTGTTATGGTACAGTGGTCACTTTAAACTCTGTCGTGCAACGTGACTGTTTAGCACATAATGAGGCAATTTCCTGTTTTTGGATTACTGCACACCCTTAAATATCACTGCAGTGCGAACCGTGGACAAACTTTAAGATTCCTTTGATGTTTTAGGAAGTGATTCTGACAGTAAAAGCAAAACTGAACATATATCAAGTTACTGATTAAACATAAAGAAGTTGTTTCAGAGGTTAATTTTTTCCTTGTTTCTTGGACAAACTGGGAGAAGAGTTGGAGTCTAAGAACAAAATCCTTTTTCGGGAATAAGTCATTACATCACGTCTTTGTGTTATCTGTGGTTCTGTTGATTCGTGCGGCTGAGGATTGTTTCCTGTTTCTTTGCGTAATTATTCTGTTCCCCTTTGTTTGCATCACGCTGTCTCTGGGAGTTTGGTGTTACTCCCTCTTTCAGTTTTATTTTGGACGTCAGATCCTTATGTGGGTTTCTGCATTTTTAATTCCTTCTGTCTTTCTTTTCCTTCTTTAGTGAACAATTTAATTCATGTATCCTTCATTGTTTTCTTTGAGAAGTTAAAGATTAAAGAGTCATACACACTCCGTAATTAATGTGGCAGGCAACTAACAGTGAGACAGGTTTGCTTAAAACTCACCTGGAGCACCAGCAGGAACAGGAAGTAAGCGTTAGCAATCCTCTGGAACTGCTCAAACAAGTTGAGAGGTAGGAAGGTGAAGAAGTTGTACTTGGAGGTTTTGATGGCATTTGTCTGTAAAAGACGGAAAGAAAAGGAGATGTGACGAAAATTTAAGAATAAAACTGACAGCAGAGTTACTTTTGAGAAATTCTGGAGTTTGTTGAATGAAAGTATTTGTGTCATTTTTTAAGGAAGTGCAAAGTGTTATTAAAGTCCCTACTGTGAATTTGATGGTGAACCTTCTGTTTAAATGAGGGTTGTAGTTGGAGAATGATGGGTGGAGGTGTCGGGTAACTCTGGACGAATGGTTAAACAGCCAGAGCGTTTTGTGAATCAGGTCAGTTTAGGTGGACTGATCTTGTAATCGCATCTTGGGCTTCCCCGTACTTGCTATGACATTTCTGCTGCATGGGCGCATGAGACTGAAAGTCTTCTGATGTGGGGGTCTACACAAAGTGCAAATGCAAGTGGTCAGTGTGGGATTTCCACAGAGTGATCTGTGTAGCCCGAGTGCTTGAAATGGCACAGAGGTACACAAAGAGATGAGCTTGACGGACAAATTAAATGAGATATGGCATGGTTTAAGCTTTTTCTGTGAGGAGTTACATCTTGGAAACTACTGGACAAATAAAGCCTTATATCCGAAGCATCCGGTCACTGTGTGAAGCTCTTACTCTGTGGACTGCACTTATATAAATCTATAAAACCTTAATGGCTTGCTTTATGGAAATTGGGCTCTAAGTATAAATGGTGATAAGACAGTCAAATGGTAGGTAATCACATTTAAGGCTTTTAAGAAATATTTGCCTGTGCTTTTGGTCATTTGGAAACTGAATGGCTAAAATTATGTTTGGGTCCAAAGGCAGGTAGCATAAAGGAGAGTGAGAGTACAGCTTGAATATTCCTGAAAAGATTCTCAGTAACACCAACTAATTTAATAATCGGAGCACTCTGTAATCAGCCTGAGAAAGTAATAAAGTTAGAAAGCACTTGTTCTGAGTGAGACCTCATATCCCTGATGCAGTTCTGTGTCTACTCTTCTCAATAAGACATTTTCCTATGTTTTATTCAACAAACTAAAAAAAATGAGCCAAGCCTCTCTGCCTTATTTCAACAAACTTCAGTGACACATCGTACCACGGTCGCGACACCAACAGAGAATGTTTGTCATGGATTATCCTGTTACTCTGGATCTTTACTGAAAAAGCAGCAAGTCCAGCAACATCTGCAAACCAATGTGAAACATTATATTGACTTTAAGCACAGTCAGACTTTGTAATTATTGATTAAATTAGTGACTGAAGATGAGATTAACTCATTACCAAAGGGTAAGACTTTGAGCAAACAGCCACAAGCGATTCTATAAAGGTAAAACATATATGAGCATTCACTAATTTGGGTTGTCTTACTATTCAGTTCAGTTAAGGTTTATTTACATCAGGGGTCTCAAACGTTCGGCCCACATCACCTACTTGCGGCCGTATATTGACGTGAAGAACTATAAAGCAATTTGGCCTTTGAAGTTACATTTTTGTTAGAGAGGATGTGTTTGTTGCTGAGTGCAACGTTAAAATAAGTTCTTTAAAAAGCAAAAAATGATTTATTAGGAAGGCAATATGAGCAGAGAGCAGAAACATGTTGAGGGATTGGTACTACTTGAACACTAAAGTGGCCTCATGTGTGATGACAGTGCCAGCAGAGGCCCCACAGCTTGAGTTTGAGACCCCTGATTTACATGGTGCCAAATTACAACAACAGTCACCTCAAGGTGATTAATACTGTAAGGTAAAGTCCCTACAGTATTTAGAAGGAAACCATAACAATCCAACGACCCCCTGTGAGCAAGGACTTTGTGACGGTGGGATAAAAATAAATCTCCCTTTTAACAGGAAGAAACCTCCAGCAGAACCAGGCTCAGGGAGGGGCGGGGCCATCTGCTGCTACTGGTTGGAGGGTGATGGGAAAGAGAAAAGAAAGAAAAGAACTTTCAGAAACAGGACAAAACACAGATTAAGGGAAAGCATGTAATTACATGTTTGCAGTGGTATATACAAACACATGGCCAATGGTTCACTGCTTAATGGTTTCCTACCATGTTTTTCTCTATGTGATTACAAGTCATCTGTGATTAAGTAGCAGCATACACACAGTAATTTACTTATTAGTAAAAGTGACGTGACTGAGGCTGAAAGCAGAGGTTCTACAGAAAAATAGATAAATAAATAAAATAGAAAAATGCTTTGCCTCACAAACGCTCGAGCTTCTATCACTGGTAAAAACAGATTCCTTAGCTGCTCAATGGTTATAAACTTTAGTGTATTAAACAATTCATTTTGCAACCTGTTTGTGGCATTAACCACTCTCAGCATTGCTCAATTTATATTTTTTTGTAGATATTTTTAGGTCGTTGTAGGACAATGTCTCACTGATAATTACACTACATTTCCTAGGAGCATCTCTCAGATTAAGTCAAATTAACCCATTTAAAAATGTTGAGGTTAATCTGTTTGAACCAAAATACATACACAGGGTTAAATATCCTCAGAGAAGTCTTTGTCTACGGTTTAATCAGATCAGAATCTGTAATGAAACTCCTCCTTAAGTATCACAGGGTTTTTCTAATGGATGTTATGTGACTCTTCTGACGTCCCTACAGATATCTGAAAGAGTGAGAGGCATTTTGTCTGCACCAGGTGGATGTTATCAAGAAGCCCCACCGCCTCGCTGGACTGCAGCTCACGTGTCACGCTATCTCTGCATTTCTTCCCTAAGAACAACCACCCACACGCTTGAAAGTTTGTTTTGACTGTAAAATGTACAATTACCCAAACAGAGGAAATGACTGTTTATGTCTGTTTTCATTTATTTGCTAATGGCTGTGTCCTCTTTAAGCCGAATGTTAGCATACAGCTAACACACAGCTTAGCGCTAATAACATCTATTTCAATATCTAGTGCAACAGCCTTTTGAAAATTTAATTATTTACTAATTTTTTATTCTTTTTTTTTTTCCAAGTAACAGCATCCTCCATAAAGAGGATTCTAAATTCTAAAAGAACACATTTTATAAGATGTCTGCTTTGGATACATTTTAATTATTACATTCACAAGACTAAAAGAACTTCTCCTTGTTCGCGTTTTGGTTTTTAAAGCGTAACATTTATTGATACACTGGTTTGGCCTTGACAGCAGCAACTCAGAGCAGAAAATGAAGGCATTTACTCAACAACAACCTCAGCTCTTTGGTTTTGGCTGACAGCCCGTATCTTGATAAAATCCAGACACATAAACACAGCCCCAAGGAGGTTTTTTTCCTGTTGTTAATATCGAGACTGACAGAAATTGTGTTTAACAGTGTTTTGTCTAAAAGATACGTGGGCGACAACATCTGTTGTTGATCTCCATCTCTATTTTAGTCATGTTTGTAGTGGACAATAGAATTTCACTTTGATGAACTGTGAGTGGAAAACTCACCAATAACACACACGCAGTGTATACTCTATTCAGCACTTACCGCATATTTAAAGGAGAGATTGTACTCGCGGTCGTTTGCTCTGATTTTCCTTTCCAGCTCTGCAAAAGAAAATACAAAAATGAAAAAACACAAATCAATTATGGTCGTGCTTTTTATCTAAATATTTTTTTTAACTGCGAGTAGATTTTTATCTTTTTCTGGCATGAAAAAATAAAAAACTGTGTAGAAACTATAAATGCTATAAATTTGTGAAATGCAAATACTGTAGCAGTGATTTTTTTCCCCCACTAGTATTTTGACTTGTCAACAATGCAATAGGGCCTTGTTTAATGATACACTGCTTTAGTGCCAAATTTAGAAATTCTTTCAAATCCAGTAATACAGTATAACTTGTTATAGAAAAACTAACTTTTATGCCCTCTTTTTTACCCCTGTTCCGTTTGTTATGATGAACGCCTGTAAAATTGGAGGCAGGTGCTTTGGAGTCTGACCTGAACCCCACTGGAACCTATTTTATGCTGAATTGGTGCTTTTGGTGGTGCAACACCAGTTCTGTCCTCATGCCATAATGGAACCAGTCCATATTTCAACAGGTTTGCAGCATTTTATAGCATCTCCTAATCTTTGCTAATTTAGGAGGGGAAAAAATAGCAAACTGAATCTATGAGCTGCCTCCACCCAGTCTTCTGTTTGCTTGTCAATAACCCAGCTTCCTTTCAGTCTGCCCCGAAGCCAAGCTAATTGAATAAACAGTCTCGGGACCTGTTTATCTGCCTTAATGACTCAATTAGGGTTCACCAGAACGATCTGCTATAAAGCAAGTTCGACATAGCTGGGCTATTTTTGAGTTTGCTGGCTCGAGTATGCAATAGTAGTTATCAATTTCTTAGTAAATCCAGGCTTTCTGCTTCAGGCTGTGGGCACACTAATGTGCAATATTAATGTCTATATTCCACATTTGTCCACACAGTCTACCACTTTGTGTCTTCCTTTTATATTTTATTTTCCCTTGCTGTAAGAGCTGTAACACCGAAATTTCTCATTCCTGGGATAATAAAGGTTTATTCTATTGTATTCTACTCTATGCCAAAGAAATTTTTTGTACTGAAAACATGTATAGAAATGTATTAGTGAAAATGCATTTTAAAGTGAAACCTTCAACCTAACTCCAGTATCATTTGTGAGACTGAAATCTCTGGCTTTTGGCTTAACGTACCTCACTAACCCGTTACTCTTGCTTCCCTGACACTAACAAAAACAATCCCAGGTCATCAGCTGAAGTTCTGGAGCTTTCACTTACTGCCAAGTTTTTCGCTGTTGATGAAATAAAGTTGCTGTCGAAATGTTGTCAAGCACTGTATATAAAACAACAATAATGTTTAGAACTCTAAATATTAGAATTATTTAAACGCCATTATAAAAACACTAAATCTGCAGGGGAAGTTCTTCCAAAGCTTTAGGCTGAGACTGTTTTTCATTTTATTTTTTCAGTAATGTCAGTAGTGAAAATACAGACGGTAAATATTATGGCGATCCGCTGATATTAATAAACGAAACCTGCTCAAACCTTACCCCTCTCTTTCTTCCTGACACAGTCCAGCCCAAAGAATGACATCTTCTTTTCCTCTTCTTCCTCCTCCTGCTATCTGCCCATCATACCGATCTGTTAAGATCAAGAGAAATCGTCATAATGTGGCTTAACAAAAGATACAAATGAGTCACTAATTATCTCCCTTACAGGGAAGTAAATTCACTCTCGAATATATTACTGCCTTTCTCCTGGAAACTAAGAGTTGAAACATCAGTGCTGTTAAAGTAGGAATTGCTGCCAGCCGTCATTAGAGCATTTTCCCGTAATGTGCTCTATGAGGTAATCGTTCCTCAAAATGCCCTTTAAAAGGCATTTTGTTTCTTACCGGAAACAATTTTCAGGCCAGGGAGAAAAGGTTTAGACATCTAAATGGAAGGTGTGTTAGGAAATGGTTACAATATAGGGGGGAAAAAACTGAAAAAACACAGCTCTTAGGCTATCTAATGAAGGAAAAGACGTCTTTTTTGTGCCAAAACCCCTTGCTCTAGGTCTACATCAGGCCTCTTCATACGTTTCCCATGCTGGACAGCTTGACTCAGGGGGACACTCCCCTCTTACGCCACAAATCCACTTCTTCTTTTCTCATTCAGGGCAGGAAGAGGGCAGAGCCAGGAGCAACATCTGGACGTGGTATCTGTCTCCGCCAAGTGAGGAACACCATGTGTAGCTGTTAATGCCAAATGCCGAACCGAACCACATGGATTATGTAAGAGGATACGCAAATCCCTTTAAACCAGTAACTTGTCAAAATGGATTTAGTGCAAAATAAATAGACAAATTTTATATGCAACAAGAATGATATGTCATTACTAAATCATAGAAATTTATGTAGATTTAAAAAGGGGTTGCTTCTATGACAAAAAGGTGTTTGTAATTCTGGTGGGAGCACATGGCACAATTTTAAACTCACTGAAAGAAAATTATTATTAGGATTTAATATTATTTAAGAATTTGATCAACAGCAAATGCGTAAAACTCTAATGTTTCAATAAATTTAACATCCCAAATTGAATTGCAAACTTGTAAGAGAGACCCATGATTACAGAAGTCGAGATTATTACCTCTACCAAAGAGCTGAGGATAGGGTTGGTCGGTTAGTTAGGACATAGGTGTCAAACTCTGGCCCGCGGGCCAAATTTGGCCTGCAGCCTAATTACATTTGGCCCGAAAAGCCATACCAAATTACTATTAGAGCTGGCCTACTGGTATTATACAGCTAATATATACATTGTTTAGTATTAAGCTTTGCTTGTTCCACATTCAGTTTTTCAGCAAAACTTGTTCGAGTCCATAAGAAGAGATTCATTCTTAAATCTGGAGGAAGATATTTTTCAATAAATATTAACGTTAGCCCGCGACCTTGTTCTAGTTTTGAATTTTGGCCCACTGTGTATTTGAGTTTGACACCCCTGGGTTAGGGTATGGGTAAAACACTAGAGATATTTTCAATAAATTTAACATCCCCAAACTAATTGCAAATTTATAAGAGAGAATCATGATTACAGAAGTCAAGATTATTACCTCTACCAAAGAGCTGAGGTTAGGGTTGGTTGGTTAGTTGGTTGGGTTAGGGTATGGGTAAAACACTGGAGATTTTTCAATAAATTTAACATCCCCAAACTAATTGCAAATTTATAAGAGAGAATCATGATTACAGAAGTCAAGATTATTACCTCTGCCAAAGAGGTGGGGTAAGGGTTGATTGGTTGGTTTGAACTAGAGCCTTGGCCCATCTCAGGAGTAATTAACTTTTAAAGTCGATCTTGATCTAGATTCTAGGTCAGGAGCTCTAGATCCAGAACTAGATCCAGGAAGGTTTGGAAAACTTATTACCTTGGCAAGGTAATGAAAAATTTTCCATCAAATCCTTAGAAATAAATATTAAATAAAAATAGTAACAAGAGCACAAAATTTAAATGGAATAGTATCACATTTTGTATATATTCATTTTGTTTTCTTTGTTCTTTTGAAACATGCTTAAAAAGTTTATAATGCAGTAAAAATACAGCATTTTGGGGTCAACTTGAAAGAAAAACAGATGTGAAATGCAAAAGTTAGAACTGTGAAATCTGTAATGTGATATTTAGAGTCCCTTTTTGCAAGTATCGTGTCCCAAATTTTGCCAAAACAAACAAATGCAATAGAACTTTAAGTGTGGTTTTAAAGACAAAAGTTTGACCTTATTTGACTTTAAAGAGGCAGTCATAGGTCCAAAGTAGTGTGATACTTAGAACCCCCATTTATCATTTCCTGACATTCCCCGCTAACATTTTTTCTAAATATTGTTTGATGTGACATTTAAACTCTCAAAATGCTGAAACATTCTTAAAAAGACAGGATTTTAAACAAACAACTTGATGCAAGTTAAAAAATGTTATGTGGAAACATCTCATACAGTTGAAGGAACCATAATGTCAGTTACACAGGAAATTATGCAACTTCATTTCTATAAGCAGCAGTAGGAATCATAGAGACAGTCAGGATGACTGTTATCAGCTATCTCACAGCCTTGCTTATGGCAGAGCTGGTGTTTGTCAAAAGCAAGGCGGCATTTGTCAGAAAGCTTTTGCTTTTTCTCCCTTCTCAATGTGGGACTGCATTGCTGTGAGGATGTTGTGTTTTAATGCACTGAATAAGAAAAAATCTGCTAATGTTAAAAAGCAAATATACAGCTTGTTGTGTAGTGTTGACGTGTGACAGCGACAACACTGACACACCCACACATACAGTGCACAAAACATTTAGCAGGTTCAAGAAATGTACAAGAACAGAGCATAAATGTGGTTATGAGAGAGAAGCAAGCGTGTGTCACAAAAGTAGTTGTGGTTTTTGAATCCCGCCTCTCAGCTTTGGTTGCCAAGGTGACGTCAGCATTGGAGCTATAAATATCAACCATATGAGTTTGTTGAAGAATGTGAGGAAAGTATGGAAATCCATACAGAACACACAAACACAGACACACACACAAAGACACTAATACAGTCGGGGTTGGGCAATTTAACATAACGAAATACAGTGTTCACATGTTTTTATTTTCTTAGCTAACGTAACATAAAAACCATTTCTAAACTATTTATTCACTGATTGAATAAAAGCTGTAACACCTCTCTTATTATCACAGGATTTTCTGTAGTTTTAACAATCACAAGATCGTGATTGTTGTTGCTAGTAACATTGTCTCACAGTGTGACCCCTCTGACCAAAGTTCTTCACAAATGATGGTGTCAGGAAGTGACTGATGTGCAACTATCTTGATTTCAGTTTTGATCAGATAGCCGCCCATCAATGACTTCAGCAGCATGCATGCTGGGAAATATATGAAAAGTAAAAAAAAAAAAAAAACTAAAAAAACCAAAAACAAACATCCACCGGATACTTATGCAATGCATTGTGAAACATACTTTCATCTCCAAGCATCGCACGCTGACGCTTTGTTTGAGACATCGCAACAAAAAGCATCAGACGTCCTTCGGCTTTGTTGATTCGTAGCATCGTGAGAAGCAATATTTGATGCTGTGAGCTAATGGTCTGTTTTAAGAAGCCAGGGCCTCAGTTTTCACACAGTTTTGGAGTTTTGTGTTCAGACTTTGTTTTAGGATACTTTTAATTTTGCTTTTGCTCGCTGGTTACAGTTACATGCCTAAAGCGGCTCAGTGTTAGTGCAAAGCAGTCTGGGTTAATCTACTCCCCTTTAACAAGATTACCCTGCAGATTAATGTTGCACATTTTAATTGCGATGTCCTTAAAAATGTTCATATGTGACAAGTCTCATGACCCTGAGGTGATATCGATAAAACAGAATTATTCAAATGAGAGTGGGGTAGAAAGACGAAATTAGACAATGAAACTATTTGGACGATCTTAAATCTGAATGTTTTCACATGAGGCTGTTTTTCCCACTCTACATTTGGATGGTCTCCTAGGCTGGTTAATTTGTCATCCATCTAAGACAAAAACATGGCTGATTTACTACTGGTAAATCCCTTTGCTCTCACTATGAAAATCTGGTCACTGCTGGTCTTCAGCGTCATTTAGCTGTCTCGAGTCTTGAGTCCCAGTGTCTGGCAAACTACCTCCATTAACTTGGACTGTAGCTCATGGTAATAGACCCTGTTCTGCTCTGTAGGTCCACTGCAACCCGGTGGATCACTCTAACCAGAACTTGATTCATTTTAGAAAGAGTAGTTGTGCCTCCTTCTACACACACAACCTTGCTACAACCACAAATGATATATCTAATTCTATGGAAAACATTGTGGGGCGGTACTCCAGCACCTAAATCTGAAAGGTCTGTTAATTCATACTTATTTAGATATTTGCAAAATAACAAGAAAACAGTGACATCCCACAGTCTGCCTAAACCAAGACATTCTTCTTTCTTTAGGCAGTCTGGGTCGGTTTAATCCAGGCTAAACTTGGTAGTTTATAGCAATGTGGTAATAATGCTCTGTAATGCAGTGGTACAGAGCAAGCTGTGGTTTTCATGGGAGATGTGAGGCACACCAAGGGTAGCAGACATTTATATTTTAGGTGATATTGATTAGTTTCGCTCACTGAATTGTATCTGTTATTCTAGCTTTAGGGATATCTGCAGTTTTGGAAATCATCCATGTAGCTTGTGACATATCTGGTTGTATCTTGTGGAAAACTCCACAAAGAGCAGTGAATCTCGGAATAGCAGCACAGGTGAATGGATCACAGCCTGTACAAAAAGAACAAATGAATTATGTCACTTATTTATAAATAATTCTTTAACCCCACGGTGGACTGCTACGTTTGCCCAACTTCCAAATCCCACTTTAAACTCTGCTTATAATCTTTTTTTTTTTTAAGAAGAATTTAATAGGAAATTTTACGGTGGAAATGGTGCGCTGAAGTAAAAACTGGGTTTGACGCATTGCCCAACTAAAGTCAACAGAGCTTACTTGCTTTGTAATCAATGATAGATTACAAAACAACACTATCAGGACTCACTTTCACTGTGATAACAGACTAGTTTTGTTTGATGGAACAAGTGAGGTTTCTAAGGAAACTTGTTATGCCATTATTTACACCAAAAAAAAAATACCAGG